CAGTTCTACGCAGATTCGGAATAAGAAACTCTTTGCTCTCTTTGTTTTTCGTTTATTCTCGTTTTTATTCTAAGTTATCGTTTTCTTATTTTCGTTGTGCGGTTCTCGCAGATAGCCGGTTCCTCTGGAAACTTAGGGTTTTTCCCGAAGTTTCCTTATTTACGATTTATTTGACAGTAGGGTGAAATCGACTCCCACAAGCATCCTACCCTCCGTAAGCTCAATCGTATCGACATATCCAAGTCTATCTCCAATGTCGCGTAGATTTCGGTCAGTCCATAGATGGAGGGGCATCCCAACAAGCCGAACCCAGAAGGGTATAATCCAGGGATAATCATCATGAACCACCGGTTCCCAACGGACCAAGACAAACATGCAAAAGTTGTAGTGGAAAGGACCCTTGGAAAGAACAAAGTTGAGATCCTGTTCATTAGTAAAGTTCAAAAGGAACTTTCCATTGCCGAGATCGTTTGCCGTAATCTTCTCTTCCATTCCCCATTGAGCAGGCATTGTCTGAATCAATTTCTCAACGTTTTGCTTTTTAGGATTCAGGATCTTTCCGATGAGAGACATCCTATACTCCTTTATTACAAAAGCGTTGTCTTGTTCAGTTAATCTGATAGGCTCATCATCATCATCACTAACTATCCCTTTTCCTTTATGATCAACCTTGTGGGTCGAGTTCGTACGGTACGGGAGCTCCATGTTTGCGTGCGTGACAAATACCAAAGGGTATTAACTTATTTTAAAACATTTTCATTTTTTTTTGTTGTTTGTCTTTTTATTTACTACAGATGACATGTTTTTTTTATTTTTATGTAAGTGGTGGTTTCTGTTATGAGAAACGGGGTGAAAGACTTGAATTATTTGATTGAGTTGTGAATAACATATGGGTAAGTACTTTTTATAATACTATACCATGTTCACTTCTTCTTAAACTGATTTTGAACCTTTCTTGGTTATAGATTAATTTTAATGTGGTTGTTCGTCATTTCTTGTTAATTTATTTGAATCTGATGGCCTCGACAATGAAAATTTCCAAAGACACATATTTGTTTATTTTGTTGGACCTTATTTGATGAGTCGTGAAAAAACCAAAATCTTACTTTATGTATTTTTTGTGAGTTATATTATTAATTTTTTGCAGATATATTTTAATTTAGTTAGGTTTAAATGTGAAAATTAGATATTATTTTAATATTTTATATTGAATACTAAGAAGAAAATAAGGCAGAATTTTTGTAGATACTTTTTTTTAATTGTTAAATAGTGAGATGTTATGCACTTGTTGCCTGTTGCTTTGCTCTAAGTCTAGAGATGTAATGCAGCTTCCTCCTTAAGTAAATACTTAAGACATTAGACATAGCATCAGATTCGGTTGAATGTTATCGTGACAGACAGTACAAGCAACCAATTTTATCGTTTTAATTTTGCATATCTAAACACACCATGATATATATGCAAAGCAGCATAATAATAAGTTCCTCTACAGGAGCTGTTTATTCTTGTGGTCTTTTGATCGAATCCATTGATACCAATCAGAGCATATTCTCAGAAGTGGCGACATATAAGAACTCAATATTGATATATATCTGATCGTTCACCAGAAATCCGTTTGAAGCCTTATGCAGTTTGTCCAGCGCCAAAAACTTGGGTTCTCCCTCATGATCATCAGAGCCAAACCAGAACTGCTGGTCTTTTATCAAACAAGTATTAACAGCTTATTTTAAAAAAGGAAATTAAAGATATTAGAGCATTATTAATGGCATCTCTTAATTGTGAACATAAAATATACTAATATTTAGTTAGTAGCTAGATATTTCAAAACACTTAAGAAATTCACAGAATCACAGAATCCCCACTAATCATGCTTTAGTACCTATTTCATGGTGATTGCGTTTGATTTGGTCCAACACTCGCAGTTTATAGACAGCCAATGTATTTGTGTTTGGGCTGGTAACGTAATCGGACGCATGCAAAAACAAAGACAATGAATTTCCTTTCCCCTCTAAGGTTCCTTTTGGGCACATCCGTAGGAACCTGGTTAATATGGAAACGACAACATATATAAGTTTATTAATCCACATGTGTTGTAACTCAAAGTTAAAATGTTCATTCATTTTCTGGACTTATTATCCCTTCAGTATTGTACTGTTTATACGTATGAAACATTAGCTGTAAAGTATAGATAAATGAGTTAGCTTATATAAATTTTTACTTTGTGTGTATTCAACCAAAATTTATTATGATTTTTTTAGGATCGGATGCCAACTAATTTACATTACCTAGTCCTGAATTTTCAAATGAGACCTAAAACATAATTATATTAATGTGACCAACCGATAACAACTTGGTTCTTAAAACGTAAAACATAGAGAGCACAGAATTCGCATACCATCTCCGTGGTCCAACCGTGAACTGGTACGAGGAATGATGTTCACCAACGAAGGAGGAAAAGTGAGTAATCTTCCAGGTGAATTTAGACTTGTTCTTCTCTACCTCCATCAGTTTAATTTTTTCTGCTGTCCCCATTGTTCGAGGGATGCTGGTAACGTTGAGGCCTATCGGTTTGACTTTTGTGACAGTGGCAGAGAAAACAGCTATGTCGTGTGCTAAATAGGAATGTATTCTCGTGAAGGCTACATCTATTTTCTTACAGTTTGCATCGAAACAAACCGAAGGCGCTGATAATATGGCATATATCGAAGTATCAGAATAAAATATAAATCATACAACAACCATTAAATATATAATTATTACTTGTTAAAAGGTTAAATACATACTTTCGTTTAGATTAAGCATTGAAGAATGCTGAGAGTATAAGGTAAGTTTGACGTTGCATCTGACTTTCCAATCAGAACCAACACACTTGCTGTCACTGATCATCAGACCAAAGGATATGGAGTTATTCCCCACTGGGACGAGAATGATGTTCCTATATTAACAAGCCTATTAGGATAAACTAACTTGCTTAAATCGTGTTGGGCAAGAGAATGAATGAGACCCACCATTTTAGACCACCAACATAGAAATCCGATGACACACAGCTCTCAATTTTTCCAGCCGTTAGCTTAGTGATTCCTTCAACCACTACCAAGTGAAGGTTCTTGTGTTTATCTGCCTCTTTTCTTACGGTGTCTAGATAGAAGATATCAAAATATATATATATTTATGCAGATGGGCAAAAATATATAGACAGAAATGAGTTAAACTTATAATATCCATGACTACAAGTAAACAAACCTTCAATTGATGACACAACCTGACCCATTTCAAGATGGTGATTGTCTGAAACACTAGCTCTCTCTCAGAGAGAGAGAGAGAGAGAGAGAGAGAGAGAGAGAGAGAGAGAGAGAGACTCTCTCTCTCTAAACAATTGTTGCTAGGCAGTTTGTATTGAGAAGGAAGTGGTATGTATGCGTGCATATATAGGCAAATTCCTAGACAAAGGGGTTTTCAATAGGGTTTAAATTGGGGATCAAAATTCATATTCTGTAAAGAAGTTAAATGAATGATAACTTTTAAAACTAAAAATTTTACCAGTGATATTTTTACTTTCTTATACTTTCTCAAAATCTGTAAAAACACTTACAATCTTTAAAAAAAAAATACAACTATAAAAGTCACAGCCATTTAAGGAAAAAAAAAGAAGCAAATCAACTATTTTAAAAATTATAAATGTAAAAAATCTTAAATATATTTAACACTGGCTTATATGTTACAAATTATGACAATTATTACAAAATGACTCTAAAACCAACTATTCTACATACATCACACTGAGCCATTTATATACGATGCTTTTGCTTGTACTATGTTAAAATTTCATGTAACTCCTCTATTAATCTGCATAATTAATGATAAATAGCATTTTAAGGTTCCAAACTCAAATATGATGTTGATATATTAATAAATCTTAATAAAACTACTGAGCTAGTAGAGGTTCTATAACATGATATTTTGTTACTGTTTTTTAGTCTGGTTAAAGTCAATAATAATACCTTAATGAATTTTATAAATAATTTATTATATAATAAAAATAAAATTTTAATAATAATGTTATATGTGTAATAGACACGGCACTATTGATGAGAAACGAAGTGAACAATTTATTTTTACTTTTATTTATTCAATTCAATAAATGAAATTTTGTTTATTATTTTTTTCTATTCTTTGGGTTCATCAAGTGGCCACCATTCAAAATCTTACAGGAAAGAAAAAGAAAAGAGAAACAAAATGTGATTTCATCTATTATTTATGAGAATTTTATTGTTAAAGTTCAAGACATATTTTAACTTTTCATTCTTAGAAATTAAGTTGAACAAAAAAAAATTAATTAAGTTTTGTATAAGAAATTAAATTGATTTTCCTCATAAAACTGAAGGTAAGCAATCAAAACAAAAAAAAATATAATTTTTAAACATTGTTTATCTATTTCAGTAAAAAAATTGTTTTTTTAAACTTACCATTATTTAATGATTTTATTGCTTTGTAAAAAAGTTATTTATATTACAGTCAATAGCCACTCTAAAAACTAGGTCACAAAAAAATAAGATTAATTACTCAAAATTTTTTTATTCATACGATATGGATCATCAGTTATGTTTACTGTTTACTGCCTTACTGTATGATTAAAAACAAAATAATTTGAAACAAATCAGCTTAACACTCTAATTTGTATACAAACTACTGTTTAGATTTGAAAATGCCAATAGTACTTAACACTAACATGTTAAAACTCCGGTCTCCAAGTTACAATGAAACCTCTATAAATTAATAATGTTGGGACTACACCAAAATTTTATTTTTTATTAGTTTATAGAGATATTAATTTATCGATATACTAACTGAACCAAAAACTCAATTTAGGAGTATAAATTTATATTATTTTATAGAGATATTTAGTGTATATTAATTTATCGAGTATTAATTTATAGAGGTTCTGCTGTATTATGAGTAAAAAGTCTGAAGCTTTTAGTGATTAGTTTAGGTTCTTTCATGAAATATTCTCAGATTAATAAAAAAAAAGGCAACCACCTACAGATTTTTGATAAAGTAGAAAAAAAAATTATCAGTTCAGTTTAAAAAAAAAAAAATTACAGTGAGAGACAGTATATGAATTTTATTACCACAATAAGACAATTATCACTACTCAGACACTTTTGTCTAACTAAATCTCATTTTCTCTCATAAACAAACTAAAGACATTGACATCTAATATCCACTAAGCTAACTAAAATAAAGTGAGACCCTATAACTTTCTTCTTCTTTTCTCTTTTTGTAATTCTCTGTAACTTTCGAAAATGAAATCCTTCTCTCCTTTTGTAGTTCTTTGTAATTTTATAAACTGAAATTGGATTCTTCCAAATTTATTTTTCCAGAAAAAATATCTTTAATCATTGTTTCTTTTTAAGCTATCTTTTGAGATATGTTAAGATATATGGTTGATGGTGGTGTATTTGACGGTAACATCAACAGTAGAGATATCACGACTCTCGTCTTTGGACTACCAGAAACATCTGCTCGTCAATGTGACTCATTATTCTCAACATCGTTATCTCACCTATAGTCGTTGCAAAAAAAACTTGAAATATCAGTGGCCACTTTTGATTTTTTTTGCACCTTTGGTCCTTACTATTATGTATAATTTCGTGTTAAACCTAAATTTTTAATTGTGCATCTGTCTACTTGAATTAAACCCCTAACTTATTGATTAGTCATTCCAGCCCATCTTTATAATTGCATGAATGGTCCTTGATTTTTATTTCATTTATTTCCGCCCGCAAATATTTAAAATAAACAATTTTTCTTTGATTTAACTCCAAATTAATCAATTAATTTATATAATCTTTGTTAATGCAATTAAACACATATATGCACATGAGACATCTATAAACATCCCAAAATGAACTGAATTAACTAATATCAAATGGTAAAAGTTATTATAATCATTAGATAGAGAGATAGCACACAAAACCATGTGTACATTTATTCTCATATACACCGTATTCTATCTGACTTGATCTATTTTTGTTATCTTTTTAATTTTTTCATCATGTGTTATATGTGTACAGCTTCACCATAAATCTTGATGAATTCATCATCTATCACAAACAACTAATTTTCTTTTGATTCACTTTTGATGTACACGTGTACTCGACACATGGTGTACGCAGTCCAATTGTACACAAAAAAATAATCGTTCTACATAGATGCATGTTTTAATATTGAATAAATCAATGTGACAAGATTTACAAAAAAAAAATATTTCTCATCTTCAAGGATTTATGCATTGAAATCTAGGTTTAGAATGTTTTACTTAGATGGATATTTTCTTTTTATCATGTGTACATGTTGCCAGCCAACAATCTATGTACACATGTAAATAGTGTTTTTTTTTATTTATGTAGCATCTAAGGATTTATGTACACTTTGTACATATGCATCATTGTACATGTGGATATATAAATATTTGTGTACACCGTAATATGTACATATATATATATATATAAAGAATCATCGTACATAGAGATCACACTAAAATAATATTAGTGTATATTGTCAAATATTATGAAGATATCATGTCTATCATTAAATCTATTTTTTTCATTTCCAACTAAAAATAAGCACTTTATCATTTCAGCTAAAATAAGTATTTTTCAAAAAATAGGTTTATGGTTAAGTTACCAAATAAGATTTATGTTTATGGCCAAAAATACATTATATGGATATTTTTTACAATGTGTGCATGTGACTCATTGTCCATTTTACTAGTGTACATATGAATTAGTGTACACGTGGATAAAGAAAATTTGTGTACATATTGTCATGTACATATGCTATTTATACAAATATTATTAGAAACAATGTACACAAAAAAATATTTTAAAGATATTTTATCATATTCATTTATTATCTCATTTACCTTATTTTAATCATTTTTAAGATGCATTTATATATATATATATATATATATATATATATATATATATATATATATATTATATATATATATATATATATATATATATATATATATATATATATATATAATATATATATATATATATATATATATATATATATATATATATATATATGCACATTGGAAGTATGAGACCAAATAAAAGAATTTATTTGAAAATCAAAAACATTTGTGGTAGAAACAAAACAAAACAAAGCGACATGGACCAAATGTTGTGAAAGTGAAATATTTTTTTGGTCTGGATTGCACAATTAAAAGTCTCAGGCGAAATTCATGGACAAAATTGAACAAGTTAAAAACTTGAGATAAATTGGAGAATAAAAAAGAGTTAGAGGACCAAATGTAAAAATAATCTAAAGTTCATCATTGTTGTTCCACAAAAGTTTTCTCTTACATCTTCGACAAAATTTGGTGGTACTCTCTTCGATTTGTGACTACAATGAGGAGGAAACGATTTGATTTTAACATGGATCATTGTAGAAATCTAACAGAATTGAGGAGGAGATGAATTGAGATGACGAAAGTGAATCTTAGTCAGAGATCGCGGCGGTGGAAGCAGAGTTGCAACATTAGCATGACGGAGCTCTGGTAGCTTCCGGCAAATTCGTTCCCATTATCGATGTTTTTATTATATAATTATACTATTGTTTCCACTGTTGTAAAAAATAGGGAAGGAGATGACATATTAAGTGGTTCAACATAGTTATATCTTAGTTAGAAAAAGAAGAGAATAAGTTTTAAAAAAAAGTGTCTAAAAAACAATAACTGTTCTAGAGTGTAATAAAAAACTTAAAATTATCCTATAATGAAAATAACTCAAAAAAAAAAAAATATCAACACAAACAATTCTAGCTGAGTGTGATGTCTCAGAGGAATGTACATATGCCAAATGAATATATTCTTAAAGTCATCAAATTCTAGGACCTAAAATTCAACCGTGTCACGTCCAAACATGTTTGGTGCTATTGATCAGGAAAAGAATTATTTGTGAACAACCCAAATGAAAAGTTTATTTGTTGATTTAAACCCGAAAGCCAATTCAAATACGAAAACCTTTTCGCAAATAATAGTATAAATAATAAAAAATTATAAAATATCTATCTTTTTAGTTATACGTACTTATAATGTTTTTCTTACAGATGTACCATTTTTATAAAAAAATAATTATCAATCAAAATATATATAAATTTTCATAAATACAAAAATAAATTTTGTATAGGACTTTTTAACAAAATGTTGTGCTGATAATGTCTGTCTAGCCATAACAAAATGTAAGTTGTACATACTTATTACTAGTATGATATTACTAGTATACTTAGTTTTTAAATTAGGCAAACATACAATTTGCTTGAGAATTTCTCAAATATTGTGAATACCCAAAACATTTAATTAATTAAGCATAAAACTGATTTACATATTTTATTACATATAAATTAAACTTTTAAAAATTCCTTCAAATAGCAATAAAACAATTTTTATCCCAAGAGTGCCACACAAGAAAAAATCATGGAATGTCATTTCTTAAATGATCAAGCGACAAATATACGAGTTATAATTAATAAAAAATAAAATGTATTATTTTTGAAAAACGTAAAAGATATAGAAATAACAGAGACTAGGATAAGACATGCGCCTTGCGCATGGTGAATATATATAATTAAAATATAAAATCTTAGTATTGCCAAATTTAAAATTTACATATGTTTTTTTATATGTATTTGAAATTTTATAATTTTAGAATTTTTATATAATTATCTATACGTAGGATCAGAAAAAATTGTAGTTAGAACTGTAGATCAAATCTTAGAATATAAAGAACTCAATTTCATATATCTTTTAACTTGTCATTGTTCGAGTGATGGAAAATAAATGGAGTGTCACTCAACTTGATTGATAGAGTATTAGAAAATTCTCTAATATTTTTTATAAAAGCAGTTTGTAAAATATTTGCATTTAAATTATATAAAGTTTCAAAACAAATTTATTATAATTTATTTATTTGTCTAATAATATTAGAAAATTATATTTTTTACAAAATATATTTTTTAAGTAATTTTTAAAAAAAAATTAAGTTAAATTTTAAATTATTTTAAAAAAATATTTTAAGTTTTTCAAATAAAAATAAACAAATTAAATTAATTATGGTCATGATTTAACATAACCATAATGATTTAAAAATTAAAAAAAAAATTAAAAATTAACAAAGTAAAATTTCACTCAGTTTTATATCATGATTTAACAATTTAAAAATTAATTATGGTTATGAGAAGTTTACGTTCACGTAATCCTATTTATCTTCAATTTTTCTCTTGTTGTGTTTTTTTATATTTTGGTCATTACTCGATATAAATATTTATTTTGAAGTTTATTCTCATTTCATTTGTTTGTTTTGCCTTGGAATTTAGAAAATACTTAAGATCGGAAATAAATAAAGAGATACATACTTAGGTTAAGACATGCACTTTATGCACAATAAGTATTTTATATATATTTATTATTTATTTTATATTTTCTGCATATTATAAAATAATAAAATAATAAATATATATATTAAATAACTAAGAAATCAGTTACTATTATGTAATAAATTGACGTATGCATATAAATTTAACTATCACTCTTGTTTATTTGCAATAGGGTAAATAAATCAAAATAATCAATCTATATATTGTATATGATATATAATTAAATTTAAATGATATAAACATAGTATATAGCACACTTTTAATATGGATATTTATTAAATGAGGTTTCTACTCATATGATTTTATGATTATTTGCATATTTTTGTAACACAACTTTACACCAACGATTTTTTTTTAATGTGAGATGTTTAGTAGTTTCAATAATTTATAATCATTTTAAAAAACAATGACATATTTTAAAATTAAAATATTAACTTTTCAATATATGTTCAAGGCAAATATCAAAATATAAATATGTATTTTCATATGATGTATAGTTTAATAAAACGATATGAAATATATATAAACTAAAATTATTTCTTCATATGGTCTTATAATCATTATATTTAATATGTATAGAAAAAAATAAAAGCTTGATCCTAAAGGTTTATGTGGGACTTTTAACAATTTTAGTAATTTATACTCATTTTGAAAAATTCGAAATGCAACATACACAAAAAAATCTAGATTTTTATTATATGATTAATGTAATTGTGTAATTTATTTTAATAATAAAGAAATAAACAAAATGAGAAAAAGTATACAGATTGTTATCAGATCTTTATTGTTTAAAATCATTAATTGTCATATATATATTTTAATCACATTAAGTAATTCTGTAGGTTTTATTTAAGGAAAACATGCGAAACAATAAATATTTGATATATGCGACCAACTATAGCATACAAAATATTATATTGCTAGAAAGTATAATTTTTAGACTATACATTATTTCACATGCTCTAGAATTCTTGAGATTTGAAATAGAAAACAAAGAGTTATGCCACATATGATTGAGGTTATTTTTAATTTTTACAAACTTATAGTTACAACTTTTTAAATGATTTTCAATTATTATATAGGGGATGTCTAACCCCCTGTTTGTATTAAATAACATACTTTCAAGTTAATAAATTCATTTTCAGTCGAAAAAGTAAACGCTATTTTGTCAAAATCAACCTAAAGGATTCGAAGAGGTATAGATTCTCACATTGATAATAGATTCGGCATATCTACAAAGAATGATATTCTCCTATCACATTATTGTCTACTTGTTTCTTATGCATGTTTACTTCCACAATCACTTTATTTATTCCAACGCTATCGAGAATCGAACATCATGAGTGGCAATCAATTTTGCAATTGTTGAGAAATATGCGTAGAGAGAAGAGGACTCAGAGGAGCACATGCAATATTCCTCGTCTTCAGCCTATAACAAAGGTCAATGCTTTTTCTTTATGATAGTTAACATAAGAAATGTCCGACGTGAGAAAAAATCGCACGTAGGTGCAAGTAAAATGACCAAAGATCAGTGCTTTAAATGTCTTTATTTATAAGTTATTGGCATGTAAATTATTGGGAGAATTTGCTCAATATATACAAAACAAAAATGGAAATTAAACATATAACATTCATTTTGATCTATTTAATAAACTAACATTTATGCTGAAGTTTAGTCGGTTATATCCTCTGCAAATTCACTTGCAGGTACCTAGTAAAGAAGAAAATAGTTGAGCAAATTATGGTTAAGAATTTGTAGTTAAGAGACATCTATTTTTTGAGCTTCAATGGTGGGTTCTTAATTTGAGGTTCTTAAAAATAAAAACATGATCATGACTAAACCTGATTCCAGCTTGACCGTGACTCAAAACCACCTCATACTCCACCTCATACTCCCCAGTTTCAACAGACCCATCTTTACTTGAGACCTCTCTTCTCAAATCACACGATCTCTGCAACCTTCTACGGACTCTTCCCATTGTGACATCTGAACAAAAGAGTTTATACTAAAACACAAAATATGAAAAAAATTTTTTTTTTTTTTTTTTTTTTTTTTTTTTGATAGAAACTTTTGAAAGGTCATAAAAGAGAATCACCTCTTTAGAAACCATATCCACATTATGATCCACCATCCCCTCAGAAAACAGAGCTTCAAGATCCGAAACCCTGAAGTCAAAGTTTCCATCTTTAGGAGCAAGCTCACGCATTATAGCCACTGCGTTCAACATCTCACACAACCCATACTTAATAGCAACCTGTACAACACAACACTAGTCTATCAGGAACAGAGCACTTGTCTATTAGGGAACAGAACATGTATTAAATGTTCAAACTTTCCGACAAAACAAAAAATGATCTAACCTTGAGCTTAGATGTATCAATGGAAGGGACGTCTTTGGAAGACATGGCGCTAGCTAGGGTCAATACTAACCGCGGAGAGAGCTGAGACACCTCGGAAGCTATTAGCTGAAATCAAACCAAATCCAAACCGGCAGTAAAGTAAATATAACTGAAACCTCATCAGCAAAAACTGAAACCAACTTACAAATATTTATTTTAGTTTAATATTTAAGAAATCGTAGAAATTTTCGCTAGGCTTTAGTTAGATTTATGAATCTAAACGTGATTTTTTTGCAATAAACCCGTTTTGACTATGGGGAATTTGGCGTTTAGGCATTGTCTAAACCAGTTTTAGAACATACCCTAATCTTAAAGCGAATAAGAGATTGCTTTATGGTTTCTCTAGTTTATTTACCTCAGTGGAATTAAACAGCACGAACATGATCTTTGCCAAGTTTAGAGACGCTAAAATCAACCATTGACTCAAACGACGTAGCACAATACATCTCCTCTCCACCAACTCTTTTAGCTTCACACTCCCCAATAGTTTTCTTCATCGTCTTTGGAAGACATGGCGTTAGGACGAAGATGCGGTTCTGAAAGCTCGAATCATGCCGTCTTCAACGAGAGGTGGGTCCTAGGGCCTCGCAGCTGTTGAGACCCAGAGTGGCTCGAAGTTATCGATGCTATCTCCTTGACGCATCACAAAGAGGTTGTTGTCTTGATTCTCTGTGAAAGGGAGAGAGAAAGACGAAGAGACGAGGTAAGGGCACATGCAACGGGGGTTCATGTACAATCCTTAGCTCGTGAACCTATGACCACACGTGTGGAAAAATATTAAAAAAAAAAGGAACGGTAAGAAGTAATCCTTAGATAAGGATTTTACGGATCGAGTCCGTCTCGACGTGGCGTCGTCTCGATCGAAGAGAAGAGAAGAGAGAGAGAGCGTTACTTGTTGGATCGAGAGAGAATCCAACACTTTGCCGGAAAACGACGAAGCAAAATCTTCGATCAAAGGAGTCTACGCTTGGTGTTTGATTTCCCAAGCTTCAGATCAACAATCATGGCCACCGCTGGAAACAAGAACATCAACGCCAAATCGGTCAGTATTGATCCGTTTATCATTAGCTATAGCTTCTATCTGGGCTCTTTTGTTAATCCTCAGATTGTGAATTCTACTGATTTTTACTGGAGAATTGTGATTGGATTGTTGATCTCAGATGTGAGTCTATTTGGGGAATTTATATTCTTTCAGTTTCTTAGGAATTTAATATCTAAGATCATCACTTTAACTAATCTCTCTGTTTCTTTGTTAGTTTGTGTAGCAGCAGAAGACAATTTCTGTTTCATTCCTTTATTTTAATTTTTTAATTTTTTGGTGGTTAAACTTTGTGGCTAAGTGATTCAGGTACTACTTTCAGAAAATATATGCTTATCTTGAGTTTGTGTATGGTGTACCAGTGTTTGAGTTGAGGTAGCTTCATTGATGATGATGCAGTGTATAGGATGATTATGTGATTATCAGAAAATATGTGTGTTGCTATTTGGTTTATCAGTGTTTGAGGTAGATTCTTTGGGGATGATGATGAGATTCTCTTGAGCTACTAATGAGAGGGTTACAGGTTTGAGCTCCCTTTGTCATACAATACTAACAACAGCTTGTGACCCTAAAAAAACAATCCATTAGTGGTATAAGGTAAGTGGTAAGCACACGTTGAGGTACATACCATACTCAGCTGCAGTGACTGGAGTTTTGTTGGATTTTGTCCATACTTCTGATTGGGACAGAGTTTTTTGTACACCCTATATCAATTGATGTAACACAGCATTCATTTTAGTTTATGATTCTTGCTCTAATAAGTGTATTTTGTTGAACATAAAGACGCAGCTTGGTAAGTAAAGCAATGGGGTGATATACTTGGTGCTGTTTTGTTCTCGTTTGTTCTTTAATTGTTGTTGGTTAACCGTATTGTTAAGCTTATATATCTTCTTCGCTTACTTATCTTCTTCGGTTTATCAAGTCATGGGTGTAAGAAATGTTCTATAAGTTTACCTTCGATCATGTCTTTAGGTAGTTATCTCGGGTGCTTTGTTTCCACCAGATCTTTTTACTTTTGTTTCCTTTTTGTCAGAGCTGTAATCTTCTTTTGCTGTAAGTCGAAATTGCAGATTTGAGAACCATGTGGTGGACCAGTGAAGCTCTCCATAACCTGCGGTTCAAACGAGTGATCATTGAGATATCCTCTCCAACTCTGTTCCGGGCTATCAATGTTCCAAGGGAGTTCCCAAACATAGCTCTAGATCTATCTAATCTCCTACGTATGATGCATATGTTCGATTATTGCCAAGTGATGCTGGTTAATAATTGTGTTAACTCGTTGGTTCAAACTCTTTGTTTCCTTCCCGGGTCTTTTGACTTGGAACATTTGAATGGAATTTTCTTGACAAAAAAAGAACCAAATTTGGTTATGAATCATGATTAGTATCATGCTTCTCATTACTTGGTTATCTTCATGCTTCTTGATCATGTGTGACCAAACCAAACGAAACTTGATGGTAGCATAAGTGAGATTATATACTTGTAAATAATATCAATTTCATGTTCTAGAAAATTTGAACTTATAAAGAATTTTAGGACTTGTATTGAATTTGAACTTATAGAAATTGAAAAAAGAAAAAAATAGGCAACATTTAAATTTCACTTTTTAGAAATAAAAAAATATTTTTTTTATTTCTAAGGACTCCGAATCGGGAAACACCATTGTACACACTATTTTGATTACAATCCTTAACTATTCAAAAAGTTTAAAAAAAGAAAAATATTAATATTCTAATCCTAAGGACTCATCTCACAATCTCACCATTGCATATGGTCTAAGAGGTGGTTCTTCCATAAGACTTCCAAAACTAGCCTCTTAGCTTTTTTTTCTTATGTTTTTTTTTTTGGGCTTGAGAATGGTCTTAAACATAAATCTTGATTAGAGGGTTCATTCGTTTTGTAATCATTTTTCTTATTATAAAAGAAATTCTTAGTAAAAACAAAATGTAAAAGAAATTAAATCCTCCTTGTCTTATTCTTAGGTCATGTTTCTTGTAAGTATTTTCCAAGACACTCAAACGAGTTTCCAAAAAACACTACCGTAACAAACAGGCTTATCTTCTTCAGATCACAATTTCTCTCATTGATCGGGAAAGGTAAAGATAAAATTAAGTTAATACAAATACATAAGAATCGACTCCAGTAACAAAAAATAAAACGAGAAACAAACTTGAGAAGATAAAATGAAAACAAACAAAATGTTTGATATAAAGTCCCCTATATAAAATTAAATATAAAACATGATCAAGCATATATCCTCATCTTGTTAATCACTTTGAAAACGTCATCCACATCATCATCGTCGTCATCTTTGACCTTCTCTACACACTGCTCATTATCATCAAGAATACTGTCATGGCCGCCGCCGCATCCTCCTCTGCTCATGTCCGAAGCACCAGACTCGATTCTCATGAAGAAAGTACACAAGAGAAGTGTTAAGAGGCAACATATGATAAATTCTCTAGAGGCTGCCATGGAGCAGACACTTTGTCTAAATCAAATTTTAATAGATTAAACGAATGCGTAAGAAGCTTTGGTATTTTTCTTTACTGTCTTCTTCTGCTATGTTTTTCTCTTACGATTATGCTTATATAAGAAATTGAAATTCCCTATTTATGGTGTAGAGTTTCTTTTTGCGCTGGTCTTAAGGCTAAACACCTGTTGCAGTATTTGACACTTATTTTCTCTTCCCTACAATCATTTTTCTTTAGAAAATGAATTTCTTCAGTTTGGATGTGAATTATTCAAAGTTGCAATTTTAACGTACAGTTAAGTCAATTAAATTAGCGATATTTTACCTAGATCCGGAAAACTTAATCGAAACAACATAATACATATGCCTCCAAAAGTTCTCTACAAGGAATATCCATGTCCAATAAAAATCTACCCAAGTCCTACCCAAAAATTTCAAAGGCCAAAACTAAATGTTTTTTAGGTAAAAAATTATTCATATATTCTTATTCTTTGTTTTTTTCGATCTTTCTAATTATAGTTTAGTTAAAATAAAATGAATTTATATTTGTCTACTTTATCTTTTGTGACATTTTCAACTAGTATGAAAAATTAACTGTAAACTTATAATTTAAACACTGTTTTGTCATAATTGCACACTAACAGGTTTTAGGTTTTTTTTTTTTAAACTAAAGAATCTTATTGTATCCTATGACTTGGATATTTTCATGTATATTTGGAATCGAATCCACTGGTTACCCGAAATACTCTCTGAATACCGAATGGATTCAAAACTCATTTACCCAATTGGAACTAGTTTGAAACTCACCTGAGAACCTGAAGAATCTATCATTTATGCATGCAGCTACACAACAAATATCGATTCATTGGTTGTGTTAGAGAAAACAAATAAAGACTTAGGTGAGCCACATGGTGACATCCTGACAGCGGGTCTCTAGTCTTGACCACTTCAGTGGAGTCAGGTTACTCGTTTAGCAAAAAAAAAAAAAAAAAAAACAAATAAAGACTTTTACAGCATGGGAAACTATGGACCTAGTTCAGCTTAACGGTTTTGGCACCTTAAAGTCACGTGACCACTAAGGACAAATACATGGGCCTAATCATTCTATTTCATCGGCCCAATAAAAAAAATCATCGAGTCCAATAAATGTCCAGTAGCACCACAACGTAACGAACTCCTCACTGATCAGTAAACATCTTCTTCTCCGACGACGACGACCTCCACCGTCATGCCGGAGATCGACGCGTTGTTTGAATCAATCAACGTCCACGACCTTCTCGCCGGCCACGATCTCAACGATCCGACGACTCCACTATCGGCGCCGGATCTCCGTCTCCTCGTAAACCGCTTAGAGTCTCACTCCCTCCGTATCAAGTCCAAAGTCCAGTCCTACCTCGTCTCCCACCACTCCGAATTCTCCAACCTCTTCTCCACCTGTCAGGACGCCGTCTCCAGGACTCGTCTGATCTCCGACGACGTCGTGAATTTGATTTCCGTCCGTTCGGTTGATGTGGAGATTCGTGAAGTGGTGGATGAGATAAGGGAGAAGAGCGAGGAGGTGAGGTTGAAGAGAGAGTTGGTTGAGTTAGTGAGTGTGGTCGTGGGGATCTGCGAGGTAGTGAAGGAAGCGAAGGAGGGTTTGAAAAGAGGGAGGTTTCGATTTGCTGCTGAGAGGATTAGAGAGATGAAAGGAGTGTTGAGGGTTGGTGAAGAGGTGGAGGAAGGAGAGCCTTTGGTTTATGTTTTGCTTAGGAAAGAATGGTCTTGTTGCTTTGACGAGGTGAGCCATTTGGGTATCATAAAAATCTAATCTTTCTTGTGAGACAAGAAGCAATGAGTCAATGGGTATTTTAAAAATCTAATCTTTCTTGTTAAACGAGAAGCAATGCGCCAATGGGTGTTTTAAAAATCTAATCTTTCTTGATAAATGAGAAGGAATGAGCCAATGGGTATCATGAAAATATAACCTTTCTTCTGAAAGGAGAAGCAATGAGTTTAAAGATGTAAGCTTTGTTTAAGAGGAAGCTTTGTTGTTGTTAGTCTTCCGTGTTTGCTTTTGTTTGGGTAAGAATGTGAGGCTTTAGAAGATCTGTGTTTGTAGATTCAAGAGGTGCTTGCAAAATTTATGGAAAGTGCAGTGTGTTTTGAGCTGGAGTCGTGTAAGCTTAGGATTAGTTATCAGCTAAGCGTTGGTGAGATTACTGGAATTTCGCTTAGTACCGTTCTCGAGGCAATGGAGGTATGAATGTGATTTGACTTCTAATCTGCCGGAACTCATAGCAATTTCAATACTTTTTTTTTCTGTATGAGTCATTTGTTTTCAGGCTAGTTTGAGTTTTCACTGTTCTGGATACTGCTAGGTGATTGGAATGTTAGACTATGGGCTTGCAAAAGCAGCGGACTTAATCTTCAAGCATGTCATTACCCCAGCTGTAATTCATGCATCTACCTTTAACGTTGTAGAAGATTCATGTAAAACCTCAGGGGATGTAACCGAAGCGGTACTAAAGCTAGAACAGTCATCAGATCATAAGGTTGGTTGATATTTCGATGGTAGAGATGCACATCTGCCCATTATCCATTTCTGAATTCTATCCGTTTCTGTAGCCAAGTTATGTGCTTCTCGTGTTTTCTGCATTGGTCCTTGTCTTGTAATCCACTAAATGCTACTTTCTTGAACGCAGACTGAAGATGTGGATGGAGATGCAATATATTCAGGAATTCTTAAGATTGTTAAATTCATTTGCAGTTCCTTGTGCTTTGGAAACGTTACATGGATCCATTCTTTCGGAAGATTGACTTGGCCGAGGATATCAGAACTAGTTATATCTAAATTTCTTTCAAAGGTTCGTTTTTATAACTGTACAGAGAGAGCACTACTCTCCTTTGAACTGCGACTGAAGGATGTTTAAAAGCTTGTTGTTCTCTTTGGAGTCAGGTTGTCCCAGAAGATGCTTCAAAACTTGCTGACTTTCAGAAAGTTATTGAGCGTACCTCTCAATTTGAAACAGCTCTGAAGGAACTGAGTTTCATTTCACCATCTGACGAGGAGGGGAGGCTCAGCAAATATGCTGAAAATGTTGAGGTTCATTTTGCATCCAGAAAGAAGATAGAAATTCTAGCAAAAGCACGAAGTTTGCTGTTACAGTGTAACTTTACGATTCCCAAGGTGAGCTTTGCTTATCGTCTTATCTATCGCATCAACCTTTTCATGTTAAAGATCATGACTGTGTAATCCTTTTTCAGGGACTTGCTATGAGGAATGCCAGTTTCAAGTCTGATGGTGTGGAATCTATAGATGAAAATTTGTCAAAGCACATCGTTCGCTTACTTTTTACATCTGAAATGTGTGTGGTGTCGGAAGCTGCTTCTCAACTTATGCATTTGGTGCATAAGACTCTCGAGGTAGCTCTTTTGGACTTGATATTTCAATATGAGCATTTTTCAGACATGGTTGGGATAATAAACTCATTTTTCCTGCAGGATGTTTGTGTGTCCTCTGCAAGAGTTGCTTCAGAGTTTTACCATGCTGCTTGAGATTCCATACTTCTATATGAAGCTGTTGTTCCCGTCAAGGTCAGTGAAAGAAAAGTTTCAAAGAACAGAATGTTGGTTTCTTTAACAGATATCTTATTTCTTCTTTGATCACTCGAAATGTGAAGCTAGAGAAACAACTTAATGGCATCAATCAGGCCGCTGTTCTTCTGCACAACGATTGTCTATATTTGTTTGAAGAGATACTTGGAATTGCTTTTGAGGTATGGAGACAGATATGTGTTTTATGCAATGTAAACAGCTGTTTTGAATATTATTTCTTTCTTTGATTGATTAGCCAACGTTCTCTTCTTAAACTGTTTTGTTCCATCCATGCTTCTTCTCTGATTATATGATCATTTTTGTTCACAGTATCGTGCTAGCTTCCCTAGCTCCATCAAGGAATATGCAGTATTTGCTGACGTGGCCCCAAGATTTAAACTGATGGCAGAAGAAGTTTTACAAAGACAAGTTCAGCTAGTAGTTTCTAGTTTACAAGAGGTGAGTTTCTTTGGAAAGCTAGTATTATGTGAAGTTTAAAGAGTTCATCTAACATTTTTGCATCTATCATCAGGTTATAGACAGTGCAGATGGATTTCAAGATACTCATCAAATAAAGCAATTCGAATCTGCAAAATTTAGCATTGAGCAGGTACATACTCTTTATTGAATTTATTTTGCACTTTATGTCCTATTAAGTGTCAGTTTAATCAGGACAATGCAATTGTTTTATAGGTTGTATTTAGTCTAGAGAAAGTGCATATGATATGGGAGCCGGTCTTACGGCCCAAAATTTACAGACATAGCATGTGCCTGGTTTTAGAGTCCGTCTTTCGCAGAATAACCAGAGACATTCTTCTTCTTGACGACATGGCTGCTGATGAAACTTTCCAGGTAACTGTTTCTCTTTGCTAGTCCCTTGTGCAATGTAGCTTTATAATTGGCTACTAAAAATGGATTTGCTTATTCTTAGTTACAAAGACTGATTCATCTCATGATGGAGAATATTTCGTCTTTGCTCGGCTCCTTGATGATCTGATACCATCTTTGCGTAAAACCAGAAAACTAGCAGGCGTGTCTTTACTAACTTTGTTTATTCTCCCCCCTTAAATTAACACTAAGCTTGGGATATGCTCAGTGAGTTTTTCGTTTTTGTTTCTCATTTACAGAACTATTGGATATGCCTCTTAAGTCTATAACTTCATCTTGGGAAAGTGGCGAGTTGTTTAGTTGCAATTTTACAAGAACAGAGGTACAATCTCTCTTTAACTTGATTTGACTCATGAAGACATTTGCTATTGTTTAACAAGTTTTTTCTTCTCTACGAGTTGTTGCATCTCATCTGTAAACCTTGCGATGAAAAACGTTGCAGGTACAAGATTTCATCAAAGCTATATTTGCAGATTCGCCACTGAGAAAAGAATGTTTATGGAGGATAGAAAATGTAGGCAACTATTAGGAGGAAAAGATAAAACCTAAATCCCCCTAGACCTGAGAAGAAGGAGAGGAAAGTGGGCCTTATTAGCAGAAGAGTCGTGAAACTTCTATCATCCACACACACTCTGTGTGTACGAATGTACTATGTAAGAGAGTTTAGGCTTTAGGGTTAAATGCGTCTCCAAGGTTTTGTTGTACATGATTTACATTTAGTCATAAGATCTAAGGGGAAAGTTTTTCAACTTCCAAGCTAGTTTTATGCGCAAGAAATGAAAAGCTTTCACTGTTAGAAGAAACAAAATCTTACAATTTAGAAAGAATTAAGAAATCAAGCTATCTTACTGGTTACTATATTCAAAGCAGCGGCTACTCGAATTGCCTATAGTTGAAAAGCTATTCCTACCCACAGAACATATGTTATCTCGTTATCTTTAATTTCCTTCGCATTCTGACTCATCTTCTCCTTGAGAGTCGGTCATCTCTTCACACTCAAACTCAACATTTTCTTCTTCCATCATGTCTTGGTCAGAATCACTCAACTCCTCATGTTCCATCACTATACCTAAATTAGAATGATCACCCATCTCATCAATGCATCTACTTGTTGCAGTTGATCCAGGCACCTGAGAGCCATCATTACGACCAGCAACAGGTATACAAGCATTGTCAACAGCACCGGAAACATCCTCAAGTTGACATAATTTGGCGTTCTTACCAATACCGCTGTCTAAATTCTCACTACTTCGAAGAAATGGATGAAAGCAGCTATCCCCAAGTGCTGATGAGTGATCTATTTCCCTTGGACTGTTGTTGAAAAGACTCAGCAGCTTAGGTCGAGTTTCAGACAAGAAACTAGATGAACAAGAACCCCTTGTGTTACATGTAGTAATCTGTCCATGCTCAGGAGTTTGGAACAATAAAGGATGCATCACAAGACCTGAGTCATTCTTCTCAGAGGAGTTAACTTTATTGGTAGTACTCAAATTTTCCCTCCCAGACAAGCACTGGTTAATGGCTAAGCCTGACGGCAAGATGACACTGGCTGAAGATGGAAGGCTAACTAGAGGCAAATCAGAGGCTAGTCTCACAACACTTTTCTTGTGTGGTTTACGATATCCCAGAGGAAAGACACAAGGTTCAAGCCTCTGTGTACATGACTCTAGGCGAACATTCTCATAGGAGTGCATAGATGTAGCAGAACACAAGAGCCTTGGTGGCCTCTCGCCTTCTAAAAACCCCTCATGTAGGTACACCTCACTGTTCTTTTTCAAGTTTTTCATCCTCAGAACGGCCTTGATGGGATTCTCAGAGGCTTTAGATGCTCCCTTGTTTTTCTTCCTAATAAAAATCTGATGCTCGCTTTTACAAGGAAGAAACCGCTGCTTGATCGCTTTCCAGTCAGAGTTATATTCCATTATCCCAAGAGCGAGTAACTCATCCTCAGCGCTGGTGAAAAGAGACCGTTTACCTCCAGGTGGCGGGTTCTGAGGAAACAAGGATACTTTGAACAATGGCAAAAACACTTTAGCTAACTTGGCGATATCTTTATGGACAACACCAACAGGATCATCCTTGCGTCCTCCTCCTGATTCAAACAATGGCACTCTTTCAAACATAGCTTCAAAACCTGATTCCACTTGACACTTTCTATAGTCTTGAACAGCACTAGAGACATCAACTAGGTATCTTCCAGCTAGATCAAGAACCGGGGAAACAGAGTCAAGAACATGACTTGGTCGTTGTTGTTTTTGAAGCATCTCAGATATAAGTCCTTGGACTTGTGTCCCAATGTTCTGCTTTGAATGATCAAACGCACAAAGAGAGTAAACTTGGATAAGAAGTTGAATGTGATCATGAATCAAACAATGCAACTCTCTTATTTGGGCTTGACTGAAGAAGCCACCAACAGTGTAAAACCTTGTAACAGGTTGTGTAATGGGGAAGATAGGTACAAGAGGACGTAACAATCTGCTATCGTTGGAGATTTTGGTTCGTCTCTTGCGTCTAGTCACAGGCTTTTTGTTTTCAAGGATACTTGTTTCCTCGTCATCATCAGTCTCTAGTGCTTGTTCAAGTTGTAACTCAAAGTCTACATCGCTATCCTCATCATCATCATCATGAACCTCACCATCATCACCTTCACCACTATGTGAAACGGTTGCTGCCAGAAACTTACGGTATTCTTGTTCTTCTTCATCCTCATTATCATCATCGTCTTCATCATCAGTCTCGTGAAGAAAAGCCTCGAGGTCATCGAGGGTGGAACTCGCTAGCGAATATTGAGCTCTGGTTCGCTTGCAGATTGCGTCATTGTCGTTTTCTTCATTAGACATCAAAGCATGTTTCTGCGTTTGGATCATGAGTTTTCCTTTAGAAAGGGATAGAAATAGACAGCATCATGGTCTTCGTTCTCTAGGGACTGTGCCGCTATCTAAACACCGTAGACAATTATTTCCGAGGATTCTAGTTTAACGGAGTCGAAGAGAAGGAGACAAAACTAGGTTTTGTTAATTAATCGACAGTACATAAACCTTGGACAGCGGTTCTGAGTATGTTACTATCGGTTCGGTTTAAGTTATAAAATCAACCGATTTTATAATGAATTTCGGTTTAGATCGGTTAAAGTTTTGTTTCCTCTTAAATGGTGAGCAAGGGAATGATAAGTAGTACTCAATTGCTTATTATTCCTATAAAATTACGAGTCATTTACACTCAGAGGCAGTTTCTGAGTTTTTATTACACTATAGGGCACTTATTGCTCTTATAGTAGTTTTTCTTAACTATATGCTAAACAATTAGTAACTGAGTTTATTCATCTAACTAAAAGGGTCCCATAGATTTTAATAATACTTTTTTCAGTTTTTGTCTTTAAAATTTAAAAGTCTAGATGACGTAGATCTACTTTTTTTAATTATAACCATTAGATTTTTTTTTATTTTAACTTTTGACATTTCCTTTATTATCTAGTTTCATGAACCTGGGATCTGTTATATGGAGGTGATGGAACATCCGGAAAAAAAAACGTGACGGACCTCAAACCGTGAGTCCCATTTCGCCGTGGCCGTCAAACTTGGGATCGGAGTTGTGGCCGCCGGAATCGTCGTGGCTTCAGTCGAGATTAAGGAGAAAACATGAAAGGACATCCAAAGGTCAAACCGTGAGTTTCATTCCGAGTGAGTTCTACCACAATCTGCTTCAAGGTCAACTCATCTCCTCCTCACCGTCGTCGTCATGCTTGCGACCAGAGTTGTGGTCGCCGGAATCACTGTGACTTCAGATTCAGATCGAAACAAAGCTTGATCAGAGCAACCATGGACATTTTTTTATTATTTACACATCTGATCCCTCTACTTTTACGTATTCTCCAATTTTTCCCAAAATTCTACTATGCTTAAGTTTCTTCACGAATTTGGTCTAAAACTTATAAATTTGCTAAAATATCAATGAATCATAACATATCAATGTCGTAAACACCATTGTTTGTGTACATTGTTGTAATGTATATGTATGTAGTCATATATATACATGATACTGTGTACACAAATTTAACTATCCACATGTACAACGATTAACATGTACACAGTACACTAGTCAACTTAAATAAATGACTTATATGTACAAATTGTAATTTTATTTACAAAAACCATATATTATTTTTGGGGCCGAAACCATAAATTTTAGTTTGCAACTTAACTAGAAAAACAATTTTAGTTTGTAAAATAAGACAAACACTACTAAAATTTTACAAAATAAATAAAATTACAACTTTAAAAGTTATTTGGTGTTTACACGATACTATGTACACAAATTGTATGTTATCCACATGTACAATGATATATATGTACACCAAGTAACTTGTATAATAATACATAGACACCACATATACACCAAGTAACTTGTACAATACTACTTAGTACAAGTTGTGGTGATGTACATGTGTACCGAAACAGAGGTTCATATAATAACGTGTGGACATGTGAAAATGTGATAATTGATTTTTTTTTGTACATGTTTTAATCATGTACATTGTTAAAGTTTGTTTTCTAGATTATAATAAATACATGCATACGAGTTAGACTACCTTAAGTATGACTGGATTAAGCAGAATATATTGTCCATTGTAAGAAGTGAGTGAAATTGTTAACCAAATGGGTTAATTATGTGTTAGAGAACAAATCTTTTTCTTTAAGTAATCAATTAGGAGAAAAAGGTTTTGAGATGAACTTTAAAAAAAACAACAAAAAANGATTATAATAAATACATGCATACGAGTTAGACTACCTTAAGTATGACTGGATTAAGCAGAATATATTGTCCATTGTAAGAAGTGAGTGAAATTGTTAACCAAATGGGTTAATTATGTGTTAGAGAACAAATCTTTTTCTTTAAGTAATCAATTAGGAGAAAAAGGTTTTGAGATGAACTTTAAAAAAAACAACAAAAAAAAGAGGAAATTGATTTTCTCAACGAAATGGAATTAGGACCGTTGATCTAAAATGTGTGTAAGAAAATCTAATGGCTGAGAAAAGAGACAGATATAAGTCTTGTCAATGAGATCAAATAAAATCTGGGCCATCTATAGGGAAGAGAGATGTGCGGTGTAGAATTTTTCCTGCTAATAATATCATTTAGTTAGCCAGCGTGTCAGTTATAATATGACTAGTTAGTCAAGATAAAAGGAAGCTGTTAGGATAAAGTGTGTGAGTAGAAAAAACTGTCTTTTTATGTTATTAAAAACATAAAACTGCCTCTCACTGTAATATTTTCTAAAATTACACTATATATATTCCTTAATTTTTTCTCTATTCTCTCTTTCTTTCTTATTTTAAATAGTAGAATAAAATTATTTCTCACCAAATCTGAGAAGGAACAATAATTCCCACTCATCTATACTATTATTTGCGAAGTGATTTTTCGCAATGGAGCTCTCACGTTAAAAGTTGGAATGGTTAATATCGATTATACCCTTAATGGATAAAATATATAAATCAGTCAAAAATAAAAACGAATTTAATACTTATTTGATTAGATAAATGATTTAAATTTATAATAATGATAAGAATTATCCATAATCTGAATATATATTTAAAAGAACTATATATATTCTGTTGTTATCTGGAAAATATATTTTTAATAAAAAATTTCAAAAACAGAAAACACATAAATAAATATTCATAAAGTAAAATTTTTAATTATATATAATACAAAAGAGAAAATTGAAAAAATAAAATACGTAATTATTTATTAAAAGAATATAATTATTTAATATAATGATATATATATATATATATATTTTGAAGTTATTTTTTGTCTCTGAACTCACATGTTAAATTAAATTTAAATTTATATTTTATATAGTTAAACCTTAAACATGAATTAATCATATAAAATAAAAGATCATTAAAAAAGAAAGAAAATATGTGTTTGACAAAAATAAATTCAAATATATTGTATTATTATCTAAACTAGTAATATTTTTTATGTAAGATACATTTTTGAATGTACATTTATCGACTCAATTTTTCAAATTCAAAGATATATTTCTATTTTTTTTATCAGTTAAGGAAAAATGAAATAGACTTGAGATTTTTCAAAGTTTTAAAAGAAAAAATTGAATTTTAAAAAATTTTGTGAATAACTTTATCATGTAAAAAAATAATGTTTTTTAGATGCAAATAATAATTTATTTTGATGTTTTTTAAATTGACTTAAAGATAATTAAGTCCGCATGTGCGGGCAAAACATGTAGTTGTTGAAGTAAAAACAACTGTCTAGATGAAGATCCAACAGCTCAAAGAAGAAGAGTATGGATGATCAAAGCCATAGAATTCCAAAATCGCCAATAAAAAGTTGAAAACAAGCTCAGAGAGCGCATAATGAGCTGAAGAACTCATCAATCCAGCATTGGAATAGCAAATAATCAAAGATTCCAAGCTCAATCAAAGAGAAAGTGAGGGAAAATGTGAACAAAAATCATACATTATACAATCGAACTCTATATATACACTCCAACTATTATACAATATACACTGTATCCATTCAATACTCGTTTTTGTGTTTACAAGGGAAAAATGCTCAAAACAAAGAATACTTTTGCACCATGTCAACGGAAATAGAAAATCCCCACCTTTGAAGCTTGTAAATAGAAGTTAATACATAACCAACCGGTTGCGAACTAAAAACACACATTTATTCATATTCCTACAAACCTACAAAGCCGCAGAATAAATTACAGGAATCAAAGATCGTTTACCAAAATTACAAGATCAATTACTGAACTAATCTCGGCCAGGTTTAGCTCACTTGTTTCCGGAGCAGAAACAGAATTAAGATCGCCCAGTTAGTATAAATGCCTACTCGAACGACAGGACCACTATTCTCACGCTACAAGTACGAACCAAGATCATGCTGGTGCCTTGTGACTTGTTAATCGATGATCCATAAAACTTTTAACTTCAACTTTCGCCTTTATTGTCAACAACAAACTTCCCTGCAACAGTCACAAGATTATAAAAAGGGTTACACGATGAGTAAGTATGTTAGCCTCTAAAGCAGGTTTATATTATGAGAGCATGTAATTTGAGTTTAAAAACGTGAGCGGCTTAAGTTCTTTGGTTTGAAGAGATTTCGGTTCACCTTTTAAAGCTGGAGTTTCCTTTTCGGCTTGCGCAAAAAAGTGTTTAGCTTTGTGTGCTACTTCAGCTTCAAGAACTGCCTCCAACATTAAATCAGACCCTTTCGCACTCTCTACAACCAAATGAATTCAGAATCAAAGTGTCAAGTCTTTTTTTGTTTGTTTACTCAAACCTAATGAAGAATAAAGAAATCTTCTTTACCTTTACGATGAGGGAGCAACTTGGCCATCTCAGCAGAAACTGGAAGAACAGGTGAATCACTACTTAGAGTGTGAGTTTTGCTACTGACAGACTCAGATAAACGTTCAAATGCTGTTGCTGCGTGAAGATTAACTGAAGCCGATGACGACGAACCACTATAACTCTTGAGCCTTTATAGACATAAAAAGAGTAGCGTTACATAAATAAAAGAAAAGACAAATGGATTAAAAAAAAAGAGAATACCTTTGTCCAATGATCTGCAACCTTGGGTCTTTCCTCAACATTAACAGAATTAACATTCCCTAAAAAAGACAGAACCAGTTAAAGGATCAAGCAGAGCAAAACAAGCTTTTCGTAACGAAGCTCTACGTAACGAAGCTCCCACATTAAAAGTTAGAATAGTTAATATCATTTATACCCTTAATAAATAAAATATATAAATCAGCCAAAAATAAAAAACGAATTTAATACTTATTTGATTTGATTAGATTAATGATTTAAATTAATAATAATGATAAGAATTATCCATAATCTAAATATATAGTTAAAAAAAAGATAATTCCTATATATATTCTGTTGTTATCCGGAAAATATATTTTTAATAAAAAAAATTAAAAAAAATTAAAAACACATAAATAAATATTGATAAAGTAAAATTTTTAATTGTATATAATTCAAAATAGAAAGTTCAAAATAATATAATACATAATTATTTTCAAATTAAAAGAATATAATATAATGATACATATTTGTAAAGTTATTTTTCGTCTCTGAACGTACACATTAAATTAAATTTTTATTTATATTTTATATAGTTAAACCTTAAACATGAATTAATCATATAAAATTAAAGATTATTCAAAAAGAAAAAAAAATACGTGATTGACAAAAATAATTTCAGATATATTGTATTATCATCCAAACTAATATTATTCTTTATGTAAGATCAATTTTTGAATGTATATTTATTTATTGAATTTTTCAAACTGAAAGATAGATTTCCATATGTTTTATCAATTAAGAAGAAATGAAATACACTTTAGATTTTTCAAAGTTTTAGAGGAAAATATATATTTTTTTAATTTGTGAATAACTTATCATGTAAAAAAATTTAATGTTTTGAGTCGAGTTTTTTGGATGCAAATAATCATTTATTTTGATGACTGTTAAATTAATTTAAAGATAATTAAGCCCGCATGTGCGGGCAAAACACCTAGTTCCTATTATTTATTCCTCTTCTTTTTTCCTATTTGTTCTAATATTCTTAAAATGGTTACCAGTTATAATGGTGATTGGTATTAAGCATAATATTTAGATATCCTTTAGATCAGATTTTTCGAGTTTTATATCCCTCTGTTATAAGATGTAAGATGTTCAGAAGAATTTTTATGTTCTCATGTTTCTTAGCAAATTTAACGTCATCAAAACTAGGTAACCAAATAAATTTAATAATTCTATTTTGTAATTGGATGCGTAGGTTATAATGTATAATTTTATTATACTTTTTAAATAAAAAAATAACTTTTTAACTAAACTATCTTAGTAAACGTGTTTATCTAAAACATTTTATATTTAGGAACAGAGGAGCACATTCTAGTTGGATGGTTAGTTAAAATTTTAGGTTCACACATATTTCAAATTTCTATCTAAAATTTATTTTTTAACACTAAGTGACGTGATACACGTTAAAATGATAATCTACTAGATGTTTTGTCCGTATTTACGGACCTAATATTTTATAATTATTTTATTAATATATTTTTTTTACTAATTGAAAGATTATAATGACAAAATATTATCTATGTTTTATTTTTTGAAACTAATAATATTTATATTTTCATTTGAACATTCTTACATAGATTTTTTCGTACATTATGTTTACTATCAAAAATAAAAATAAAAATCAGATAATATTTTCTTTTCAATTATATAAATTTAAGAAGTTTACTTGATTAATATTTAATTATGTATTTTCTATTGTTTTAATTTTTAACTTCTTTATTAAAATATATTTTCAAATAACGGCACAATATATATAGAAATTATCTTATTTAAAAACATATTATTTAAATTTTGGATAATTCTTATGACTTTAAATTTTGGATAATTCTTACCATTTTTATTAATTTTAATTACTTATCTAATCAAAATCATTAAAAAAAAATTTTATATTGTGTGTAATTTATATGTTTTATTCATTAAAGATATAAAAAAATATTAACCAATCCAACTTTTAATATGGAAGTTTCATGCGAAAAATCGCAAATAATAGTATAGATAACTATAATGATTCCACAATAAAACTCTCAAACACTTGGATCGACAGAAATTTTTACATATACAACATTTTTGATAGACATAATCTTTCCACAGCACACTATCCCAACTAACTACTCTACCTACAGTACTTGCGAATCTCGAGAGCTTGCATCTTATAATCCAAAGAAATTTCATAGTCTGTCTTTAAACCTTATTGTTCCCATGTCTAAAATCTAAAATCTATTTTAGAATCAGATATTCAGATTCAGTGTTTCGGATTTTGATTGGTTCGAATAAAATCCAAAACTCAAACACTATCCTACATAATTCATTCAAATATGTTTACATATTATATACAAATTTTAAGTTTATTCCTTTTTAGATATTAGTTATTAGTATTACAGATGATCATGCCTAGTTGGTATACTTTAATCTTTATTAGGAAGACAAACACTATAAAAGGTGAAGAGCGTGTACTCTATTGTCACTCCACCAAATATTTTGTTCTGATTATGTGTCTATATATCTAAATCCAAAATCCAGACATGTTTGTAAGTCTACATATAGGATGGTTCATGCCTCTTAAAATGCTCTTATCTTACTTTCGTTTCAGCAAATATAAAGACTGAGAAACATTCAACGGTTCAGGTCACACCTTCAATGCTTCACAACTCATCCTTGACTCCAACATTAGCATCGTCATCACCTCCCATGAGTTCGTCAAGTGAGAACTCATCTTCCTCGATTACTTCCCCGTCTTTACCGTCCCACCCTTTTGTCTCAACGATCTCTGGTGTTCCATTCATAGGTACGTTTCCTTTTCCACCGGCTGCAGCATCCTTCACAAATTCTCTGACGTAACACAAACAAAAGGTTACTTGTTATTAGAGTGGATAAATTACTCAACTGAATCTCTGGTTGAACCAAACTTACAAGAGGTGTTGAAGCTCGAAGGCGCTTTTCAGAGGAGCATATACTCCTTTCTTCACGTTCATCGCTACCATTGCTGGATAACCGTATCCTCCCACGCTAACTTTCTTCTCCAAATCAGGCTGAGTTACAGCCGCCACCCACACGAAACTGCAGATATTTTTACATTAGGTTCTCATTCTAAGTTGACCCTTGTCCAGATGTCATCAAAGCAAGTCCTAACACTTCTAAAAACATCAATATATTCTCTCCACAAACCAGACCATGATGCAGCAGAGAGAGAGAGAGAGAGAGAAAATATTTCTTAGTATACCTATAAGGATGTCTCTTAAACTTCTCTGCAACGGATTGTAACATCTCTAGATACTTGTTCCTTCCTTCAGCTTTGGAGTCGAGAATGTCAGGTAAGAAAGAGATAAAGCAAATAGCAGCAGAACCACACTTCTTTTCCATGACATCCTACACAATCACCATAAAATAAATGTCAATGTTTTGATTTGTTGCAGAGTACCATCTAACAGAGAAGTAAGTGATGTGAAAACGATACCATACCGGTCCAGTTAGTTCAGTTACTTCAACAGGCCCAGCACTAGATTCCACAAGTTCTGTAGCAAAAGATTCTATAGCTGACGCAGATCTAGCACCCTCATAACCATATGGGCTGCTTTTGTCTGCACCAAATACCATAATTGTAGGGAATCCTTGCACTTTGAATCTGCTCATTATCGACTGCAACGCGTAACAGTCTTGATCAGAACGCATCACGAGACAAAATGAATACATAAGTTTTGGTACAAGAAAAAGACACTGTAGCAGCTGGTCAGGATATATGCTTCAAAATCAAATGGGAAAAGACTAGGCACTGGTAAAATTCCCAAAAAAGGCCAATAGAATAAAATTAAATCTGAAAGCAAATGATGTTAGAATGTAACTGTTACTAGTGATTACCTGCTCAACATCGCAATTGACATGACCTAAGTTCACCTTCCCCTTCAAGTTTTTAGCAGCCTTTTTCCACTCTGGGGCAAGCTTTTTGCAGTGTCCACACCTTATGGAAGAAAGTAGAACGATGTTTTACACCGTCAGTTTCACCAATGAAGTTTTAAGACAAGAATAGTCCATTGGATCAAAAGTCACAACTTACCAAGGTGCGAAAAACTCCACAATCCAGAGATCATTGCTTTTGATGACCAACTCATCAAAATTGCTAGAAGTCAGTTCTACAGATGCACTAGGCTCAGATTTCTTTTCACTAGATCCTCCTCCATTTGGTTTACTTTTTCCTTCCAAACGGTCACTCACAAGGGCCTTAACCTGGGGCAAAATTAACAGCAATCAGTTAATGTGATGTGAGTGGCGAGTTTGGTAAAGAAATGTTATATACACAACGAAATTAATATTGATATAATGTCCATTTATGATTCTTCCATTCGTTTTTACTATACTAACTACAAAACCAAAAAAAAAGGTGAAAAAATTCTATCCCATTTAGATCATCAACTGCTGCCCGTTGTATATTTGTACATATAAAAAGCAAAAAGGACAAAGACACAGATCAGTGCTATGTTTTGTTTGACGGACAATCAGTGCGATTAAACTATCGCATTTTTATCAGGATTAATCTGCTTCCAACCAAAAGAAACATGGTAGAGTTCAATCTCATTTGTTGTGGCAGGAACATCTTCTACAGGTCTTTAAAAGCACCAAAATCAAGTCATTAAGAATCAACAAAGGAGCATGTAACGAACCTGCTTGTAAGCAAAATTAGCAATGGATTTAGCATCTCTCGCTCCTTGGTAATCAACAGGAGGCTTTCCAGGAACAAAGACCTTGATGGTTGGGAAGCCCTTTATACCATAATCCTGAACAATGAGAGTACATACATTATAGCGACATTTCTCACGGAAAGATAGAATAGAACCATTGGATGACTATTTCACAGTGATAAAAAAAATTCCACAAACCTGAGCAGCAGACTGGTGAGCGTCTGCATCAATAGCTGCCACAGTAGCAACACCTTTCAGAATACCAGCCACTTTCTCCCATGTTGGTGTCAGAGCTTTACAGTGTCCACACCATGGTGCAAAGAACTCTA